GCTTTAGTGAGCACCCAAACCCTGTCACTAAAAGCATGATCGCCTGTTGCTAAGACCACAGAATTGCATCCTCACGAAAAATCACCAAATCAATCGACCTAACTCAAAGGGATCGAGTTCCCTTACCTCTATAACGCGCTTAGGACTAGATTAGATGATCTGGGACGTTGATCTCCTTGTTGATCGCACCCTCAACGTCACCACTAATAAAAATCCGAGGTTCGAATTAATCTAACGATAAATCGCGTTTAGAAATCGCGAAGGGGTTCGTGATCCTTACCTAAAAACACGAGAGGCATGGGATCAGGATTGGGATTGGGATTGGGATCGGGTGCCGGAACCAACTCCTTCTTCTCCTCTCGTCCGCGACCGGGCTGAGCAGCAGGGCCGTGACAATCTCTGGATTAAATTGCTGGGAAGGGATTGAGGAGGGCGGCGGTTTCTATTGCTTGGGGTCTTGAATTTGGGATTTGAGAGAGGGTCGGGTTCTGGAAGGGAAGCAACTGGCGGCTGGGAAAACAAAACAAAAGGGGCTGGGTCGGTTTTATTTCTTCTTGGTTAACTAGAGTTGGGCCCGCCCGTTGGCCGGATGAATTAGATTAAGAATATAAACACTAACAGTAATTATGCGAATAATTTATTTGGTAAATGAAAGAACCTAAATCATTCAATAACTAAACATATAAAAAATATATACATTATAACTTATAAGTGTTACCACATCTTGATCATTCATGTACAAAAAGTCCTTATCAAAAGTAAACTACAAAACTCATGGAGGTAACTTATTCTTAAAAAACTTAATATTCAAAATGTATTTCATTATACTCTTTATTGCTAGAAGTTACTGCAATTTTCATTTTGGAATTCTTTTTGATTTCCCCGCCATAAAAAAAGCATCTTATCCACACAACTTCATTTTGATTAATGAAACTTCATATTCACTCAATAGTCTCTTAGCTTACTTTTCTCATGCATTTCATTGAAAACCATTTTAATTGTAAAATGTTATAAAATGTGAAACATCTTTTCACGATGCTAGAATTTCACCTCATATGAATCAAATATTTCAACCATTCGCTCTTTCCTGCTATCACATATATTTATTTATCAACCATCAAATAATATATTTCTTTATCTCAATAATGTCCTTATCTCTATCTCTAAATTCACTACCTCTGATATTAGCATGTTCTTCTTTCTTCTACATTTCATTGATGCAAAAATTTCATGGCAATTTTTTTTAATTATGAAAATTCCATTTTCAAGAACTTAAATTTACCCTATAGATGTCGTGAACTTTGCGCGAGATTGCACTTCTTCATTCTTCTTTATATTTTAGTGGGTACGTTCTTTTCTCCCTAATGAATGAACTTGGAGTTAAAAACAATCAAAGAGTAGAGGTAGATCATTACCTAACTACTATTGTCTTTGGTGTTGTATAATTCTTATAAAATTGTTCGGCGTAGTCTTCTTTAACTTTTCTTTGGCAAGTTACAATTAATATGGTTTTCCTAACCTATTTAAAATCAGTGGAAATGAATGAGATATAGTCCGCTAATTTTCAAGAAATTGAAAGTCCCTTAATAATAGCTCTTGAGATTTAAGCCACCCTTAACTAAAGGAGGTTATGCACCAAAATTCCGGCCCTTTTACTTAATTGTTTGAAGATCATACTGAAACACTATTTTGTCAATAAGATGATTCTCCTAGGTGAATATATTTTTAATGCGTAGAATCAATAAATATAGTACTTAATAATTGTATGAATTGACTTAAAAACTCAAAATAATGCTGAAGCAGTTATAACATAAATAATAAGATGATTCAACGAAAAAAATAAAAAATAAAATGTTACTACCAAAGCAAGTTTTGATAAGAATTATCATCATACTAATATTTGTTCAAAAACCAAGCAAGTTTTAAATCTCTCACTAATATTTGATCAAAACCAAGCAAAGTTATGAAAAAGAAAGAAAATGGAGTTGTCGTTTTCTACTCTGTAAAGAAAACAATACATAACAAATGTAGATCTAAGTTGGTATAAGAAAGAAATTATTTATTGTGACCTATATTTTATCACTATAAGAGAAAATCAATACCTAAAAGAAGAATTGGAAAATAAAATAATAATTAATTAAACAATCATTAATAATTACATTCATAAACCTCGTCACTCTTATCAATTCTCTCATTAATGCGTTAAAATTTTCTATTTTGTACTTGTTTTATGAAAACCCTCAAATTTAAATTTATAATTGAAGAGTATTGACTTTTTTTAGTTAATTAATTAAGAATTAGTTAATTAGCAAAGTCACATATATAAGAGTTTGCCTCAAACACTTAATCTTATAATAAAAAATATTAAATAAATAAACTAAATCACATTTAGACACCCACGGCACAACCTTATAATAAAAAGAAAGTTATTAATATAATAATTGGTTTTTCTCCATCTCAATTATCTCCGGTCCAGCTTGTCAAAAAAAAAATCTCCGGTCCATGTAAATCCAATAGTGCCCCTTCAATCGTTTCTGTGTCCCATGTTTGCAAGGAAAAGTAGAATGGGCCTGGCCCAATTCAATCAATTAATGCACGGATATATTTACCGAAAACTCCCTCCGTAGGTTGCGCAGAGAGCAGGAGAAAGGGGATTAAGGGGGTTCTAGCCAATAACCTCCATATAGTATTGTTAGGATACCGAGGGTACTGGAGAACCTAGGCGGGTTGGGTTTCTTTTACCTAGGGAATTTTGGCAGCTGGGGAGTTATTTTAGGAGGGGCCGAGCGGCCCCAGGCTGCTTTGTTTATTATTTTTTTAAATAATAATAATAATAATAATTATTATTATTACTACTAATCCGCGATAGCAATTTTTAGTACGCGACTGTCAACCCAACCGATCACGTATCATGGTCGAACCATCACCCAAAATTCGGGGTGTTACATCTACACCCGCACGGTTTTCGACTGGAGGTGCAATTTAGGGTGACTTCTCATAAGGTCACCCATCCTTGTTGTACTCCACACTGAGCACGTTTAAATTTGGAGTTCTCACAAGAACTCCTCCGTTTCACCCCAAAACGCGTCTTGTCAGTTAAGGTCGGTTTCTTACTAATGAACCATGGATCTCTCCCGTGCTTTGTCGATGTGAGATTTGCCTAAAGTGTTACATTTAAAACCTTTTTATTATCTCAAATGAAAATCTCTTTCTTGACAATTCTTAATGAATAAACCTTGTTGTGTAATGAAATAAAGTGTCAGGTAATATAAAAAAAAAAATAGCGTGTGTGAGCCAAACATTGCACTTGCCATAAGGAACAAATCGAGTGAGGGGTGGCAGTTATTCAAAGTTAGTACCCCATTATGATTCAATTTTCCTTAATTATCAAAGTGTTGTTTGCGAATGTGTGTACAGTGCATGAGCAAAGCTTATGGAACTAGAGGTGGCAAATGGATTGGATTGGTGGATTGGTGGATTGGATTGGTGGATCCATGGATCAAATGGATTGGATCTAATGGATTGGTGGATTCATGGATTGGATCAAGTGGATTGGTGGATTATCCATGAATCCAAATGACATTCTCAACCAAGGACCAATATGTAAAATGTAAAAAGTTTAGGTACTAAAATGTCATAATGAAAAATTTTAGGTACCAAAACGTAATTTTCCATTGATATTTTTCGTATAAAAAATTAAATTTTAGGTACCAAAATGTAAAAAATAAAAATTATAGGTACTAAACCGTAATTTGCCAATGATCCATGGATCCAATCCATGAATCCACCAATCCAATTGGATTTGGATAAAATGGATTAGATTTAAATGGATTGGATTAGGTGGATATTTTTAATGGATTGATGGATTGGATTGGTGGATTGGATTGAAATTGCCACCTCTATATGGAACCCCTCTATACATACATGTGTTCATTTGCTTAAGCACAGAAGCTTAAGCATATTGCTTAAGCCAATCTTATTGGTTGTTAGTGAATTTGGCAGTTATAAGGAATTTTTAGTTAATAATTGATTAAGGGTAGTGTGATAAATTGTATATTTAACTTATTTAATACTTACCATAATTTTGAAATTAACTAAAAACTAAACGTCAACCCTAAATCTTATATATAGTTGTTGGTTAAGTTTTTTTTTTTTTTAACTGTTCCGTCGTCTTCTTTCCAGCTCTCACGTCTGCGTCCATCCACCACTCTCCTTCCCCCGTCGTCTTCTTCCCAGCCCTCCCGTCTGCGACCATCCATCTAGCCACTCTCCTTCCCCCGGCGTGCTGGAGACTGAGGCTCGGAGTTGTTTGTGGTTTCGGATACCCGCCGCCCGGAAAGAGACGTTGCCGACCTTTTTTATTTTATTTCTGACTTTCGTTCTTTGTCATTGGCCTCCCCGATAATGGTAGCACAACGCCGGGCACTGCACCGGGACAAAGTCATTAATGGTTAGTATGCAGGTACCCCCAGATTTAGTCGGCCCCGCTGTCACTCATGTGGCATGTGGGTTGCTGATGTTCTTGGGTTATCAAATAAAAAAAATGTGGTTGGGTGTTGGGAATGTCAATTTTTTATGGTAATTATTAATAGTTTTGTTTCCATATTTAGCAAAGTGATTGTAATAGTTAATGTTTTTCAATGTCATTATTAACATATTGATGCTCAATTTAGTAACCTATTTGAGTTTCATTATTAATAATTTGGGACGGGGTTATTGTTTTGTTTGAGATGTTCCTTCATGTTGAAGTTTCATTATTAATTAATAAAAACATATATATGTGTAATCTGTAATGAATATGTGGCCGCATTATAATATTTGTAATGTTCAGACTGGCATAGGCATTCGCATTAACATTTTTTAATTGTTTCTGTAGTTCTCCTTCATATGGCGCGCACTAAAAACACGGCGCGAAAGCAGGCTCCACTGGAGGGACAAACAGGAAGAAGCCGGCGGTTAAGCTTCACGGTGATGATAATCGTTTACAACACCGTTGCAGCATGTCGCAGGCGTGCAAGATGGTCGACAACATTAGTCAACGCCGTGCGTCCTTACTTCGGTCATACGGGTTCGGTTTTATGCTCAACCTGCAGATTCACAGGGACGACGTCAAGAGGGTGTACGGCTTGCCTAGGGGTGATAATAACGTCAATCTTGACATCTACCGCCGGCGCAGTAGAAAATGTTGGGCCATAAATCTCGAGATTGACAAGGATGGGTTGGGTTGGATTGATGTAGTTGAAGAATGCGATGAGTAACACACAAGACGATTAATCTTGGGCAAAGATGTGGAGTGCAACTCTGCTATGCTATATAGTATTGGTGTTTTAATGTACAATTTAAAGTTGTACCATAATATTAAATGTATAAGTTTAGGTTGTACCATAAAGCAATTTGTACCATTATGTTATGGTACAACTTTACAACTTGAAGTTGTACCATCACTTAAAGGTACAAGTTCAAGTTGTACCATAAAAGAATTTGTACAAAAAATATAGATACAATCTGAAATTGTACCATGACATAAATGTACAATTTTAAATTGTACCATAAAGGCAAAACCCTATAGCACCAATACTATATAGCATTGTAAAATTTCTCGAGATGTATATCCCGTTAGCTATTGGATAAATCCTATCCATACAACATACCACAATTTAACAATTTTACGGCCATCAACATGTACATGTCTCTATTCTCAACAAAAACATACCTTAATTTTATATAAAAAAGACGAGTAGTCGTTGATCACTAAGTATCACAATGTTTAAAAAATAGAGAGCTTAATGCGTTAATTTTTATCATGATTTTATCAACGAAATAGCATCCCAGTATTAATAAATACCAATCCATTATCAATGTGACAAAATGTACTCTGTAAAAAAACAAAAGTAACTGTTCACTTATCATCAGACCGTTAATAACATTTCATTATTTGGTACGAGCGTCATGATGATACAAACCTAATAATTTTAATTTTTACAGAACACAAATCCAATACGTAGCAACCATATATTACCTATATTAGCTTCCGTATCTAATGTAATCGATGTTTCCCTACTACATTTTTTTTTTCAAAAACTCACTTGCATTACCAAGAGAAATAGATACCAATGTTTACAAACCACATATAATAACCAAATCCGAAAATCAAAACCACAAACACCTGCAAGAAACAAAGAAAGCGCCTTTTTGGCTACCAAATGAGCCGCTCAATTGTTCTCCCTGTCTCGAAACCCAACTGAAAATCCGGTGAATAACTCCCGGAGTTGAGATATCTCGTCTAAAATCGAACCACCCCGCCCGTCTCAGGTCACCCGATCCTTGATTTTGGAAATAACAACTTGCGCATCACCCAGGAACGAGACTTCAGTTAAACCCTTCACAGAGCACCAATGAATCGCGCCCCGGAAAGCCATTAGTTCACTCACAAATTGGTCTGTCAAACCTGCATGCATAAAACCCTGTGCAAACAACACATTATGGGACCCCACCTTTACCGCGCCATCCACATAAAAAACATAAGGCATACCAACATTCGTCTCTACCCTCCCGCGCACTAAATGGTGATTCACCACCACCCCAGAACCCGACAAGTCCATCCAAGTCCGCGTCAACTTCGCTAGGATCTCATTCAAATCTGTATAAATTAGTAGTATTAACGAATATTAAAATCACTACTAAAGGAAACGCGCCACTATTTGAAAAAAAAACTATATTAACATTTACCAGCGAACTATCAAATCATCAAACAATCCTCCAATAATATATAGTAGAGTTTTTGTCTACTTTTCTCCATTTAAAATTTTCTGCAACGAGAGTGAAAGTTTTTTTTTTTTTGACAAAAGATAATCTTGTATTTGATCAACAAAAAAGATAGACAACTACACCCTGGATATCAGCCAGGCCTGAAAATCAAAGAAACGACTCATAGCCGGGTACAGAAAGGGCCTTTCTAGCCACCAAGTGGGCTACCCTATTGCTACTCCGACCTATAAATCGAACACTAAACCCAGGGTTGCTGGCAAAATAATGCGTCACTTCCTCCAGCACAACACCCACCCTATTGTCTCTTGTATCAGTCCGCCTGATTTTCTCGATGATCACCTTGGCATCCCCTTCAAACCTAACGCTCGTTAGGCCTTGACCCATACACCAAAGAATTGCCTCTCGGAGGACAAGTAATTCCACTACGAGAGGGTCATCAATGACCGGGAATTGGATCCCCGCAGCCCAAAGGACTCCCCGATTCTGAGACATAAGCACCACTCCATCCGCCGAGTGCGATCCCCGCCGAGTAGCCCCATCTCATCCACAGATGACCTCAGACGAATCCTCTTGGGAGACTGGTGAGCTGCGGCGGCGTGGGTTTGAAGAGGTATATCCACCGGGAGCCTCACCCATTCCTCATATTGCTGCGTAAACTGGCGCATCAAAGCAGTGACCCCATATTGTTTGCCTTCAAAACCACCCTGTTACGAGATCGCCATATGCGCCAGAGGATGGCCACTACTGCCAGAAACAGCGTAGGCTGATCAATTAAAGCCACCACCTTTTTGAGAAAGAGTGGAAAAGTGTGACGGGGTAGACCTTCCACTCGTGCCACCGGGCAATCCAGGAAAAGATGTGCACCACAAGAAAAACATGATTTAGTGTCGGTTATTTTATGTATTTGATGTCGGTTTTAACCGACACAAAAGCCATTAGTGTCGGTTCATTTAACCGACACGAAACCTGCCGACACTAATGATATTTATGTCAATTTTGGACAACCACCGGAATAACCGACACAAATGGCTTTTGCGTTGGTTATATTGTGTCGGTTCAACCGACACTAATTATTTATCATTAATATTTATTTTCATAATTGAAATATTATTTGTGTCGGTTGAACCAACACTAACTAACCGACGCTAACTTGTTATTTTTTTATAAAAAAAACTTTCAGTTCGCCATTGACTGGCTGAACCAGAATTGACGCCGTCAAAATAGCCTCTCCGCCAATAATGACCCCCGCCTCCGATTCAGAATCTCAATTCCCGTGTTCGCGACTCCCTTGCCTTCAGCCTCCGCCGCCTTCAGATTCAGAATCCCTTGCCGGAGGATTCAGATCGCCGTTGGATTACGATTTATGGGCAGATTTGGCGTAAGAAGAAGAACGGATTCAGACAAACCCAGAACCCCACGTCTCTTTCCCTCTTCATCCGTCAACCCAGAACCCAAGAAACCCAGAACCCCAAGTCTCTTTCTCTCTCCCTCCATCGACGCAAAACTGAGAACCACGAGCACTGCCGACAGACTGAAGAAAAGTAGGGCTTCTCCACCGATGCTTCTGGTCTCTAGCTAGATCGGACTCTTGAACCAAATCCCTGCAAAAAAATCCAATCTCATCCCCTTCCAACAAAGACAATCCCCAAACCTAGCAAATTCAACCCTCTCGCTTCGTTGCTGGCCGAATTGGACCGCCAGCGTGAAAAGAGGAAGTGGCGACGTTGACGGCTCATCTCCACTTCATCATCGCTGGCCGGATCGGACGGCGCGGCGTGAAAAAAGGAAGCAGCAACGTTGGCGGCTCGTCTCTACTTCGTTACTAACTAAATCGAACGACAGAACCCATCAATCAAAACCCGCAAAATCCAAAAATTGGGTGGTGGGGGAGGGAAGCATGGTTGTTGAGGAGGAGGAAGAATCGTAACGACGGAGGTCTCTTACCCTGGTTCTCTGCGGAAGAAGAAGACGAAGAAGAAGAAATAAAAAGAGGGGCTATGGGTGACACTTGAGAGGCGTGAGAAGATGGGGATGTGACCAGAAGAAGTTGAAATAATAAGGGGGGATTTGGGCGCTTGATTGAATTTCTTAGAGCAATAGATATTTCGTTCAAAATTCAAAATCGGATGAAAATAGTGTCGGTTAAACCTTAAACCGACAAGAATTGGCTTCAGATCGTGTCGGTTAGAGCCTGAACCGACATCAATCACCTAGAAATTGTGTCGGTTCACCTTAACCGACTTAAAGTTTCAAATAATTATGTCGTTTGTGTAACCAACACAAATCATCGATGCAAATAGGTTTTTAGTGTTGGTTAAATGAACCGACACAAGACAACCGACACTAAACCCCTGTTTTCTTGTAGTGGTTCCATCATTTTGGAACTATCCCAACAGACTGGACATCTTGGATGAACCAGGACCTTTCTATGGATAAGGGCTTCCGCAGTGGGGATGATCCGGTTGAACACCTGCCAAACAAACACTTTTAACTTCGGCGGAACGTTGGCATTCCAAAGTCAAATCCAACTGGCCCGATCCATCCAGCCAACCGTCACTTTCCATTTTCCTCTTCTCCGATCAAGGGAGACAGCCAAATGGTAAGTCAATTTAATGAAGAATGCTCCATCAGTCGTATCATGCCAAATGAGTATGTCCTCCACATTCTCCCTCGGGAGTGGAATGGCTTTTATATTGCGACAAGTAGCTGGGTCAAACCATTGGCCAAGCTTCATGTCACACCAGCGTCCCTCCCCTGGACAAATCAGCTTAGAGACCGGAGGGTCACCCCCTGCCGGTAGAACCTGAGGATTATATCAAAGGGGCTCAAACTGATTTTGAGGAACCCAAGTAGAATGAAGCATGGAAGCCGAGCGACCATTGCCAATTTGCCAACGCAAGCCCATCTCTAACAGACGTCGTCCAAACATGATACTTTGCCATCCCCATGAGGGACGAGAACGTGCCTGAGCATTAAGGAAGTGCCCATTCGGGAAATACTTTCCTTTGTAAACTTGGGCCAGAAGTGACTGAGGTTCACATAGGATGCGCCATCCAATCTTAGCTAAGAGAGCCTGATTAAAGAGAGTGAAAGTAGTAAGGGTATTTTTGTCTTTACAATTAATTAATTATTTTATATGAAAAATGTCAATATCAGGATTTGAACATGGGTCTCTTCAAACAGAGACAACCATAACGACCAATTACACTAAACAAATTTGTTGTGTCCTTTTTAATACAAAACATACACGAAGTGACACTCTGAAAATTGATGGACTATTCCATCATGATTAGCAAGCCCACTAAGTCTACCGTGTGTATTTTTATGCTGCTTGATACTGCAATTTTCATAGAAGAGTTTCATGTATTTTATGGAAGAGACTAATTCTATTACTACGTGTTGTGTCCTTGCATTTTTCAATTAATATTTAAATTTTTTACTTTTTTATCTTTGTTCTTAACTCTTTCTAACTTCCTATGAAATTCTCTCAATCGTGCAATAGTTTTCTCCTCTTTCACTTTACATATCCGCCTTTGAAAATCAATCTTCTGGTATCTCTTGGCACTACGATTTTATTGTTAGGGATTTAAACTGGGCAAGTAGAAGATTTCAACTCCGATATCAATCCATGGCGAATAGAATGGAGTGCAATAAATGCAGTTGCAAAATGAGGATTAGAAATTGAATTTTTGGTTGAAAAATACACCTCTTGAGATTGAAGATAAAGTTGATAAAAATTTGATTGTACAACAAAGAGTGGTGGCTATTGGATCTTTAGGTTTATGATTTTTGAAGATATCACAACTTATTTCTATCTTAAAATGAGGAATCATTGATTGATTTACTAAAGTAGGTCGGTCGATTCTTTATTCAACCTACTGGGACGGATAGATGAGGAGTGTCTAATTTTGTTCCTTATACTTTGATAGAGTATATTAGTATATTGGAGTTAACCCTAATTTTGGCCTTTGCTCTCAAGTTTTTATGGTATCCTCTTAGTTGAATTGTTAATATATAGTTGACTTGAATCATCAAATCTCCGTTTCTTTTTGATTAGTGGCATATTGTTCCTAAAATGAGAGCATTGAACCTTTATGTAGGAATGCCATGTTAAAGATTTAGTTTCAAAGTATCTATAGTTCGTGTGGAAATTTCAGTGAGCTTTTCTACTCTATCTTTCTTGACAATCAACTAACCAATAGCATTTTACCAAGGATTTAATTATCATTATGAAAATGAGATCAATGATACATTTTTTATATTTAATATTCTTAAATGATGATAAAATTTCTCCAAATGTTTGACATATATATTCTTTCTTTATGTATCATCTCGATCGAAAGATTGTCAATAAAATTAGATATAAATGTAAAATAAAAATATAAATAATCAAATATGAATATTTCTGCCCACGGGCCGGGTTATAAGCTTAAGCTAGTAATCCGGTCCGTTGGCCGGAATTTTCATATTTGATTATTTATATTTTAATGATAGATATAAATATAAAATAAAAATATAAATAATCAAATATGAATATTCCGGCCATCGGGCCGGATTACTAGCTTAAGCTAGTAATACATAATGGAGGTTCCCCATGTGTCGGTTTCTGTTTCTGATACCAAACGAAGTTTTTTCTATCTGTCCCTTGAGAGTTTCCTCTGTCTCTTCACTATCCTTCAGTGGTGACGTTTCCTCTTCCCACTATCCTGGAGAGGGTTTCTGGCACTATTGATATGTAGCCTTCTTACTTGAGTCCATCCTCTCCTTCCCTGATCCTTCTCAGGGACTGTCTTCTTCCTCTTTGTTGATTGTGTGCTCTCCCTGTTTCTTGTTCGTTGTTCTCTGTGTGTGTCTGTATCTGGGGTTTCCTTTTGTTCCTGCTGACGGTTCACTGTCTTCTGGCCCCTGTTCCCTTCTAGTTTTCTTTGCTGAAACTTTTCTTGTCGTATTCCTGCTGCATTCATGGCAAATGAGTTAGTTGAGAAACTGTCAGGGATTGATCTTACGGAAGATGAGGAAGCTGTTATTAGCTTTGAAGATACGGTTGAAACTGAAGGAGTTGAATAAGAAATTAAAGAACTTGGTCTGGTTGGCAAGGTTATTAAAGGTAATCTCCCCTCAGGAAGGATTCTGAAGAAGATTCTGAGTGAAGCCTGGAAGCTGAAAAAGGATTTTGATATTCAAGTTACAAAGGAAAATTTCTTACGACTGCAACTCTACTGCTATGAGGATAAAAATAAGATCCTGTATGGAGGACCTTGGCATCTAGAAAGGCAACTGTTGATTTTCAAAGAAGTCCCACCGGATCTGGATCTATCGAAGGTTGAGTTCTGTTGGGCGGATTTTTGGGTCCGCATAAGAAAGTTTCCACTAAATATGAGAAATCTGCAGATGGTAGAAAAGGTTGGGACCATGTTTGGTAAATTTGTTCGCTGGGATGAATTACACTCTGGAGTTAGCAGTGAATATATGAGAATCGGGGTTTCTATATCGACTCAAAAACCGTTAAGAAGGGTTGTTAAAATGCAAAGCAAGGAAGGCCCTATTTCTTACAGAGTTGGTTATGAGATACTTCCCATCTATTGTTTCAAATCTGGCACTCTAGGCCATTTCAGAAAATCATGTCATATGGCTCAGAACAATGAAGAGGATAATAATGATCAGTATGGATCCTGGTTGAGGGCTGAGTCCCCTCTAAAGAAGCTCTCCCTGAAGGAAAAAGAAAAATCCCAACAATTGTCCAAGTTATGGGAAGAGGTTCAAGCTGAAAAAGCCTCGAAGAATAAGAAGGAAAAAGAGCAACAGGAATCGGAGAAACAAGCTGAGAAACTATCTGAGGATCTTCTGGTTATTTCAGTAAATGACTCTGGTATTACTCCTGCCATGAGCACTAATGGAAAGCATAAGACTAATGAAATAGCTGGGGAACAGGAGCCAGTCCCCCCTGAACTACAAAATGAAGATACTTCTCAGTTAGTTGGGAATAAACAGTTGACTTAGCCCGGGAAGAAATGGCATAGAATGGAAAGAAAGACCCTTGAGGGCCAACCCAATGATCTTGCTAGAGTGGAATTTGGAAAACGTGGTGTTCCTGATGAGATGGAAATAGATGAGAACCAGGTGGGTGAAAAGCGTCAAAAAGACTTCTCTTACTCTATTGTGGATGGCGATGTGGCGGTCCTTGCCGAGGAGCAAGGCCGCTGAGCCCAATGAAGCTCCTGAGCTACAACTGCCGAGGTTTGGGCAGCACCTCGGTAGTTGCTAAGTTGAAAAGGCTGGTCCAAAAACAACAACCTGACATTATCTTTCGTATGAAAACTCGTAAAGATGAGAGTGGATGGCAAGAAGTTCAACGTAAGCTTGGTTTCTCAGGCGGGTGTGGAGTGGCTGCAAAAAATGATAAGGGTTGGAAGGCTGGGGGTCTCTGTCTCCTTTGGAATGAAGAGGTTTCTGTGTTAAAAGTTTCCTCCTCACTCCATCATATTGATGCTATTGTTAGTAACAAGGAGGGGAAAGATAAATGGAGATTAACTGGCTTCTATGTTTGGGCTGAACATGAGGAAAGATTCAAATCGTGGAACCTGCTTAGGGATCTAAATAATGGTTGTTCTTTGCCATGGGTCTGTATTGGTGACTTTAATTAAGTCCTGTCTGGTAATGAAAAAAGAGGTGGAAGACTCATTGTTGAATGCCAGGCGATGGAGTTTAGGGAAGCTCTGGAGTACTGTAGTCTCCTTGATTGTGGCTATAATGGTTACCCTTTACATGGGAGAATAACAGAGCTAATGAAGGATTCATTGAGGAACGGCTAGATCGTTGTGTGGCCAGTTGGGATTGGAAGACTTGCTACCCTAACCACCAAGTGATTCACCTTGATAGATGTGGTTCTGACCACTGTCTGGGGTTGGTATTTTCGAGTGGAATCTTTTTGACTCAAGGATCCTGAAAGTGCTGCAATTGTGGAAAGGGCGTGTAACACAAATGGTAATGAGGATCTTCTATCTGTACTCTCAAAATGCAGAGCTGACTTGCTGAGTTGGAGTAAGAGAATGTTTGGAGATATTAGAAAGAAGATTGAGAGGATTGAAAACCTGCTTAAAACTTTTAAGTTCAAACCTAAGACTGAGTTTGTGATTGAACAAAGAAGGGATTTGGAGAAGGAAAGGAGTGAGCTCATTCAACAAGAAGAGGAATTATGGAAGCAGAGGTCCAGAATTGACTGGCTAAGAGGAGGGGACAAGAACACTAAGTTCTTCCATGCTAAGGCCACTGCTAGACGTAAGAGAAACACTATTAAGATGCTGAGAAATGAGCAGAGCAAGTTATTTAAAGGGCAGAGAGAAGTCTCATCATGCATTCTTGATTATTATAGGGAGATATTCAAAAAGGGTAATATCTCTAACTCAAACCAAGTTGTTCAAGCTAAGGAAAGAAAAGTGGCTCCTACTATGAACAGCAAGCTCCTAAGGACTGTTACTTCTGAGGAAATCAAGTTGGCTCTTGATCAAATGGGGCCTTTTAAAGCTCCTGGGTCTGATGGATTCTATTCACGTTTCTTCCAAAAGAATTGGAATGTTATTGGCTCTAAAGTGACAGAGACTTTCCAGAATTTCATCACTCATGGGACCCTGCCTAGTGAGCTTAACCACACCCTTATAGCCCTCATCCCTAAGGTTAAAGCTCCTAATATTGCTAGGGATTTCAGACCTATTAGCCTTTGCAGAGTGACATATAAAATCATTTCTAAAGTTCTGGCTAACAGGTTAAAGCTGATTTTGGATGACTTAATCTCTGAGGAACAGTGCTTTTGTCTCAAGAAGGTTTATTACTGATAATGTGATTGTGGCTTTTGAATGCTTTCAGTTTATGAAAAAAGGGAGAAGGCCAAGGATGTTTTTTTTTGCTGCTAAACTTGATATGGCGAAGGCCTATTATCGAGTGGAGTGGAATTTTCTGGAGCAAGTTATGTTAAAGCTCGATTTTGATGAAGGGTGGGTTAGTCTGGTGATGAAATGTATCTCTATAGTTTCTTATCCAATTCTGGTGAATGGTCATAAGACTGAGAGTTTCTCTCCATCTAGGGGCCTTAGACAGTGAGACCCTTTGTCCCCCTGCCTTTTTTTTGTTATGTGCTGAAGGCCTCACTACTCTGATCAAGAAAGCAGAAAGGGAAGGAAAACTTAATGGGATCAAAATAAGAAGGAAGGCTCCCACTATTTCACATCTATTGTTTGCAGATGACTGTGTCATCTTTGGAAAATCTATCCTAAGGGAGTGTGATCAACTTAAGGATATTTTGGATATCTATGCAAAGGAATCGGGTCAGCTGATAAATTTCTCTAAATTGGAGCTATCTTTTAGCAAGAACGTAAGAGTTAGTAGGAGGCTGGAAATCTGTGGAACCCTTGGAATCAAAGAAGTGGACAAACACTTTAAGTATCTTGGATTTCCTACTGTGGTGGGAAGATAAAAAAGGCTATTTTCGAGGAAGTTAAAGAAAGAGTTCGAAAGAAACTCAAAGACTGGAAGAGTAGGACTATGTCACAGGCTGGTAAGGAGATTCTTACAAAGGCTGTTGCCCAAGCTCAGTGTTTATATCCTATGTCTGTTTTGCAGATACCAGAGGGAACTCTCAAGGAAATTCAGAAACTTATATCTAATTTCTGGTGAGGACAGAAGGGCAAAGAAACAAAGATCCATTGGATCGAGTGGGATGAGATGTGTGACAATAAAGAAGATGGGGGAATAGGCTTTAAAGATCTCAAGGCTTTCAACCTTGCTATGCTTGGAAAGCAGGTCTGGAATATCCTTAACAGACCTAATTCTCTTATTGCTAGAGTGTTAAGGCTCGATACTTTCCTAAATCTGACATTCTTTAAGCAAAACTGGGTTTCCAACCTAGTTATATTTGGAAGAGTATTATTGCTGCTAAAGAGGAAATTGCTGAGGGTTTCAGGTGGAGAGTGGGGAATGGTGAGTCTATCAATATTTGGAGTGATGAATGGATTCCCGGGATGATTTTTTTTTAGTCGGACCCTATTCCTAATGGGGTTATCCCTGATGCACCTGTTAACACCCTTATTGATGTCATTTCAGGGGATTGGGATTTTGATAAGCTCAAGGAGCTCTTTTCTCGGGACGATCATATTCTTATTGCTAAAATCCCTCTCAGATTCCCTCTTGGTCCTGACTCAAGAGTTTGGAAAGACTCAGATAGAGGGATTTATTCAGTTAAATCTGCCTACTCATTCATTCGTAATAAACAACCTAGTCATCTTTCTCGTTCCCATTATCTCAACCCTGAAGATTCTGAGGTCTGGAAAGCTATCTGGAAGCTACATATTCAGCCTAAGGTTCGGACTTTTCTATGGAAAATGTGTAAGAATATCTTACCGGTGGGGGTTCATGTCGAGGAATGGATTGATTGCGCAGCTCCTGAGTGCCCCTTCTGCAACCTTTCGGAAACCCAAGTGCATGCCCTCCGTGAGTGTGACTGGATTCGTAGACGATGGAGGAATGGTGAGGAAAAGGATCTTTTCGAAAAAGGGGAAGGGAATACATGCTTTGAATGGATAAAAGAAGTTATGAAAGACTTCCCAGAAGATCGAATTCAAAAATTTAGCTCTATTTTGTGGTACCTGTGGAAAGAGCGCTGCAACCACAAATTCAATAATTGGAAGATGGAGGAGGATGAGATTATTCCTCAGGCTCTGAGATGGCTTTCGTCTTTCCTGAATGCCCATGAATCCCCCAACACAGACCTTGGGGTTGTTTCCACTCATGCTCGCACGACTCAAGAGGCTCACTGGACTCCGCCTCCTGAGGGTTTTTACAAGCTAAATTCTGATGCGGGGGTATTAAAGATCGAGGGATTGGCCTGGGCTGTATAATCTGTGACTGGCATGGAGCTTTTGTGGGGGCGATGGCGAAGAGAGAGAAAGGAATCTGTAGATCGATTGAAGCAGAGGCGAAAGCTCTGGTCATGGGTTTGAGGGAAGCAAATCGAAGGGAACTTAGTCCCCTGATTATTGAATCGGATTGCCAGATTTTGATGAACCAACTGAGGAAAGGAGGCGAAGATCGAATGGAGCTGGGTTATTGGTGTGATGAGCTGAAAATGCTAGCTAGAGTGAATGAGTCCTTGTCGGGACGTGAGGTGAGATGGAATTTCTGCCCGAGGAAGACAAATTGGGTGGCCCATTGGTTAGCTCACATTGGGTTGAGTTAGGATCAGCAAGTGGTTTGGGTTGATAACCCTCCCCTTTCTCTTTATTGTTTGATTGATGCTGATTGGGGCTTTGGGCCCTAAACGCTTTTCTCTATTAATGAATTGATCCAGATTTCCCATAAAAAAATGGAGGTTCCCCTCGAGCAACCCCTTATCTCTACTTTTTCCGGCTACTGCGCACACCACGGAGGGAGCGTTTGGTCATTCTCCTTTTAATAATTATGGGCTTTAGAGCATGGGAGTGTTTTAATTAATATGGGCTCCGGCTAATTATTTCTAGGTTGCAATCTTAGTGCTGTACATGGACTTTGATTGTGCAAGAAAGTCAATATTTTTATAACCGGACCAACCAGAAAAGTAGTGATTGATGGTTAAACGATCAATTGTTATAGAATCGTTGATAGAATCATTTATGTGCTATAATATAAAAAGACATATATAATACATTAATTTAGAAATGAATTTATCACTATCCATAAAAATTTTCAAATCGATATCTATCTTCAAAAAGTTCTAAGACGAAACTCGAAGAGTTAGAAGAAAACGAATCAGCCTATTAAAAAAATAGAATTCCTTTGATAATCATATCTATGTTAACCCCTGACATAGATAAAAAAAATATATTGTATAGTTTCTATGAAGGAGAATGATTTGAATTTGAATTCAAAAAATTCCCAAGTAAAAATTAAATAGAGGTTGACTTTTTCATTTGTAGTTGGATAAAAGTAATAAAAGAATAAAGAAGAGTGGGTTTTGGGGTGGCTTTATTGTTGTAATTTCTGACACTAATGGCGACATGGTTTCCGTTTGGTTTGGTCTAGTACATTGTGGATGAAATTTGTATAATAAATTTTAAAATGGGTAAAGCAAAATGTGAGATAGTTGTGGTCCTTGTGGATCGAACCTGTGTGTAAATGAAAAAAAAATGAATCATACATAAGATTAGTGATTGAGGTTTGATGGTTTTAGTTTTCATTAACGTACTTTTCCCTTAATTTTTTGTGGTTCAAAAAGGGAACCAATGGATCTGTTAAACCGGGATGGTTCATCTGCTTTTTGTCAAACCGATAAAAATCGTTCGATCCATCTCTAATTGTCCAATCAAATGAACCGAACCACTATTGTAATTGGTTCAATAATTCTACTGGCCCAACTGTTGATCCGGTTTGATTCTTATATGAAGAAAACTGATAAATGAAACTCTGAAGCCTAAATTAAGTGCATAAGAAAAAAAATTACAAATTAGAGAACTTAGCTCATCGGTTCATTTCAAAATTTATATGACACACAAATAGTAAAATTACTTAATTGAATAGGAATACAAAATGAAAATGGTATTACTCTGCTACACTCACCGTAACTTCGCAATAAAGGAGCCAATAAACGCCTTTAGTAGAGATATACTATTTGAGATCATCTTCCATTATCGCTGCTCTTTTACTTTCACCCGTAAATCCTTATTCAAACGTTATTGATGTTTTACTAAATTTAGATTCTTTTTCCTACTCACTATCCAATTACAATTGCCTCCGTACTAACATGTTATTATCTATTGGTAATAGAAATTAATTTTTCAATTCAAGTACTTCAATGTTTGTTTCTATATTTACATTCCAAATTTTACTGGCAATATAATATCCATGATTATATATTCCAAGAATTTTATTTTAGAAAGAGATAATCTATACTTTTTTAATAACACATTGAGGCATAAGATTGAGCTATTACATATTTTGTGAGTTAATCTGATATCCATTGTGAAACAAAAAAAAAAATTAGACTATTGTTTCAATTGGAGGTTACTCAATATGCATCCAAGATGATATCTGATCTCAAAACTTAAAAGAGAAATTGAATTCTTCAATGTCATGTTTCGAAGAAGTAGTTGTCAATTAATCCCAAGATGGATATTATTTTATGCCTCTCTATATGATAGTTGTTGACTCAAAGTGCAAACTAATAACAACCACGTGAATTCATCTCTATGATTCAAATTTTGAAAAACTATTAATGATCATACATTTTCTTCAGGACATTTTGCGTGCAATTTTGCAAAGGAAAATTCAAGGACTTTCGTCCCCTGTTTTGTAACCAGAGAGTTTACACTATCAAGACTTTATGGCCATTATGACAATGGGAGATTACATGCCAATTCTAAACAAATTGGTCATTAAGTTTGAATCAAATACTAAATCCAAAGCATGCGTTGATAATCCAGCCCTATGATCTTGAAGTTGATCTAGGAGGAGGAAACCAAAAGGCAGGGCGGACCGGAGCTAGAATGAAAGTTTAGGGAGAAAGACTGGGCATGTGGTTGATAATGCTCAAACACCACCTTATCATGAGACTTCTAGATTCTCCACAATATGCATACGCATTGGAGAACATGAGTTTGGGGGGTGCTCAGAAAGCATAACATATCACCACCAGAGACTGAAATTCACAGTCGAGGATGGGTGGCCAATGGGCATCTAAAGAACAGGTGTTCAAATAGAAAATTTATTATTCGAAATCCAGGTAGTAGCCTGTTTTGACTCTATTTAATCATTGTATTTGGTTGCATGTTATAAGTTTGAAGTTTCAAATAGAAAAAAGGGGTTAACTATCTTATTTTTTGGTAAAAACTAAATAGTGACCGAGATGGACTAACTCTTCCAGTCAAAAGTAGTAAAACACTTAAATAAATAATTTCAACCAAAACATTTCAAAAACTAAATCAATCAAAAATTAAGGATGGAGAAGAGGTAAGTATTAGTTTCGATTTAATGACCCATTAACTATCATATGCTAGCATTTTATGTAATATGTTCGGAAATTTGTATTTAGTCAAATATAGATTTGTCAAAGTTAAGACGGGTGGTGTAATGCTAGATGTAAAACCTATCCAAAAAAGTATTAGTTTCTTTTGGTGTTTATGTCATTACTATTTACTAACATTATACTTATTCAAGATCCACCTTCGAGTTGTGGACAAAAGCACTGAGGCTAACTTTGTTGTTGTGGATCGAGTTGGAGATGGGTTTTTTGAATATCTACTCATCTCTTACAAAATGAAGGAATGATACTGAAGTTCGATATCAAGCTCACATATTACATTGCTAATCCAACAAGTGAGCACACGATTTTCAAGATATGGATGGATAAGAAGAGTAAAACTCAGACGATCTTTATGACTTGATCGAGGTAAATTATACTTGCATGAAACTTATTATCAATATTAATTAAAAAATAATATTATGATATTCTCTATTGGATTTGGATTATATTGGAACAGATCATGGATATTATTCATAATTTGGGCGAGATTAATTCTATTCTAATGAAAACAAGTCACAAAGAAAATGTGCAGTAATCTTAGTCGATGATTGGAAAATGTGCGAGTAAATAGAAGGGTGATTTTAAAATGTCTTTAGGAGTCGATCGGGTTTGCCTTTCATTTTCGTTAAAGGATCTCAGTCGATGAGTCAGTTATAATGTCGAAAACATTTAGGGCTAATATCACTACAACACCTGAACTACCCAAAATATGCCACTTGTGTCCTATTTTATTCAATATTCCATTTATATCCTGTAGTATATAAAATTAAAAATTAAAAATTGCAAATAATTAAAAATTAAAAACAAACTTCTCATTTCCCCCCTGCTTTCTTCCTTGACTACCGAGAAAAATTCACAATTCAATTTACCACTTCCCCCTTCCTCCAAGTCAATCTTCGCCCAAGCATCCAGAAGCATCCAATTCAATTTACCACATCCACAAGCATCCACGATGACCATCGCCCCTCGTGACTTTAATCGCTCTCCTTTTCTGGTTTTGGAGAGTAGGATAGAGGGTTGGGGGTGGTGACTCTGGTCGATGGTGGCTGGGATGTTAAATCGATGATGGAAGTCCTTTGGCGGCGACGGTTGCTACCTATTTCTCGCCGGAGGAGGTGTCGATTTGGTGGATGATGACGAGATGTAGATTTGCACTCGCAGTATTGATGATATGATTGTTGGTTGCTAACTTAGCTTAACCAGGGAATTCGCCGCTTTTTCTGGTTTCGAAGAGCAGGACAGAGGGCTGGGGGTGGTGGCTTTGGTCGATGGTGGCTGGGATGTTAAATCGATGATGGAAGTCCTTTGGCGGCGACGGTTGCTTCCTATTTCTCGCCGGAGAAGGTGTCGATTTGGAAGATGATGACGAGATGTAGATCTGAACTCGCAGTATTTATAATATGATTGTTGGTTGCTAGCTTAGCGAGGAGACTGCTGCTGGGTATGTGGCCCTGTGCGTTGATGATCAGATGGGTTGGATCGATGCGCCTTCTCTTTTTTGTTTGGGTCGTCTCCGGGATGGGATGGGTAGAGAAATTAGGTTTGGCGCCGCCGCCAGGATCGTTAATACTAGAGAGGAAAAATTAGGAAAGAAGATGAGAGGAGACGAGATAGTATTCTATCCATACCTATCGCAAAGCCTCGCCGAGAATCCATTTCCATTTCAAACAACGTACGAACTTCACCAGGCGTTGGCGACGCGCATGTTTGGGACGGATCCGTACCGGTCGGCGACACTGGGATGCTATCACTCACCATGACAGGAACGATGCCACCTTCAGCCGCATCATGGAGGAAACCTTGGCTTCGGACTACGGCGGGATGGTAGATGGGGTCGTCGAGGTCGGCAGGACGATCCCGTCAGACTGATCGCTTCGATCTATACATTGACCCTCTACATGGACTTGATAGATAAGTGTCGTGATCAAGGTTGTCAAACCGGTTTATGCCAGTGTGCCGGTTTAGCAAGTGGAATGGTTCGACCGGTGCCGATTTTATGACCGGTACAGGTTAAACCAGGTACAACCGGTGGCACGCCGGCCGGCGTGACAACCATGGTAGTGACTCTTTCTCTAGTCACAAGATTATATAATAATGAAAATCCTCATAATTAAATCAAGCAAGAAAAAGAAAATAGAACTGTCAAAATACGAAATAAAGCATAATAGAAACACCAGATTTAATGTGGTATCCTCAACGTATTGTTGAGACTAATCCATGGAGAGGGAGAAACCTCTCGGAGTCAATCGTATTACGTAGCTTCAGAAGGTTAAGGGTTACAAACAACATAATCGCATATAAATATTAGCCACCTACAAACCCTAAGCTAGCGGCGATGGAAGGTAATTAACCGAAACTACCAAAGGTTAATTACAATCCAGCACCCAAACTTCAAACTGCCTCTCTCAAATTGATGAAACTTATGCAACATCAATTTGTACGCAAGAAACAAATGTCGAGCAGTGGCCACTATTTTCATCAGCAAATCTGCAGTCTGTTCCTCTTACGTGATATACGAAAGTTCTACCTGTCCTTCAGACACAAGCTGACGAATATAATGCACATGAACCTCAATATGATTGGCCGATCATGAAGAACAGGATTTGTAGCAATCCAAATAGCACTTGTATTGTCACCAAACAAGCGCATATGAATCTGACACTAACACCAATCTCGGACAACAACCGCCGAAGCCAAATCAATTCAGAAGTAACTTCAGACATAGATCGATATTCAGCTTCTGTGGAAGACTTTGACCCACGTTCATGCTTCTTACATCGCCAAGAAATGAATGAATGACCCATCTTCACACACCACCCTGACGTAGAACGTCGAGTATCTAGACAACCAGCGTGATCGACATCAGCAAAAGCCTCCAAGACAGGTGAACTCGACGCTGGGAAAAATAAACCCACTTCCTGAGTACCGCGGAGATACCGAAGAATCCTGTTAACTGCTGCCAAATGCGGAGTTTGTTGTGCTTGCATAAACTGACTTACCACCTGAACAACATAGCATATATCCGGACGATTGTACGTGAGATAAATAAGGTTCCCCACCATACTTTGATAAAAGGAACCATCAGGCAGTAAATCACCATCCGTCTTACGTAGCTTAAGGTTTTGCTCCATGGGAGTTGCACACGGAACACAGTCATCCATGTGTGCAGTTTCCAGTAAATCCAATATGTACTTCTTTGATATACCAACAAACCGGGCTCCAAACGATGGACTTCAAGACCAAGAAAGTAAGACAAATCACCCAACTCCTTGAGATTAAACGCAGAACGCAGCTCCCGAGTCAGCAACTGTATACCATCCTCATCATCCCCACTAATAACCATATCATCCACATATATGATAAGAAGAGTAATACCAGCCGCAGTATGACAAGTAAATAAAGACGGGTCATTGCTACTCTGAACAAACCCAACCTGCTGAACCGTAGTATGAAACTTCTCAAACCAGGCCCCTGGGGCCTGTTTCAAACCATATAAGGAGCGCCGAAGATGACATACCATCGATTTTTCACCCTTGGAATAGCCAGGTGGACACTCCATATAGCTTGGAAGCAAAGAATCAAGCCTAGAAGAAGAAGAAGAAGAAGAAGAAGATCTTGTGCTTTGTTTGTAATCTCTCTCTTCTCTCTCTATAAACTCACCCTCTTCTCTTGGATTTAAGAACCCTAGTTCTAAATTTTGATTGGGTGTTGTTATATGTGACAAATCCTTGTTTGATTTAGTTCATTATCTAAGTTATGGATCGTTTTCATGAATGGCATGAGCTTGGATTCCATTTTCATGTTTTGAGCTTTTGACCTAGGAGGAAGAAAATCCCCTTAGAGCCCCTTTCTTGGCGTCTTTAGGTGACTCCTCACCCTATATCGTGAGGGTAATACCTGAGGGAGTCGATTGGATAGAGCTCCTATGATATAGGGGTGCCCTAGGTTGAATAGAGCACCAACCGTCCATCACTTGATCGTTCCGGGTCCGTCCCAAGGGAGTTCATCTCCTAACGGTAGGGTAGTGATTCCCAAACTTGTAAATAGCTAGGCTAGTGGTTAGCTAGGTTAGTTAGTTTAGTTTGATTAATCACCATCCTAGATTGTCTAGATAACGAACCCTAAACCTAAAGTAGGATAAGCCTAGATCCATGTGGTACGATAAATTATTATTGCTTGCTTGCCCTATACTACACCCGGTCACCGGTTATACTTGGTCGGCGATGGGGAAGTTGTAGTTGGAATGAGTCAACCACCCACACTTAAGTTTGATATTTTACTCAATGGAGAAGAGGGAAGTATAAAGGAAACGATGATACCAGGAAAACAGACTGCGACGGTACTAGAAAGTGGACAAGTCAGGAGCTGAAAACTAGAGCGGGACCAGTTGCTGCAGGAAAGGCTCGCAAAAACAACCAATAGATCATGATATGTTCGGGACAGTTGCCACCCAAATGGGTGCAAAAGAAAAAGAAAACAAACACACCAATATAGTTCAAGCTCACACACACAGGAGCAAACACAAAGAAAACAAAAACACACAAAAGCCGTCGGCTAGCATAGCCTCCTCGTCTACATCAAAATCGATGTCTGCTATGAATTCATCATCAGTCGACAGAGGCATTTGTAATGGCGAGGCCTCGCATCGATGTTCAAGCTTCCAATCGGTGATCTCGGTGTGGTCAAAGGTTGAGTAGAACTCAATTACTAACTCATAATAGACCCGATCATGCAGGGGCAATAGGCGGTGCCACATCTGGTTGTGAGCAACAGCATGGAGGGCGTCATAGCAGTTGATGCTCTATAATGCTCTCTTGCTCCTGAAATGCTGCTTGCCAAATTTAGCCTCCAGGACGCGCTTAAACTGGGCTTTTTGGGGCCCTGACTTTAGATCTTAGATGAACCAATGCTTAAGGTTGGGCTTCTACATGATCCTGCAAGAAAAAGAACCAAAGTGGAGCCAACAAAGCAGCCAGGAGAAGGTTAGCACACCCTCACACTTGACTTCAAATAAGTCTGAACCATGGTGCCATCCATAGTTCACGAGGTAAAAACTCAATCAACGAAGCACAATCAAGATGGGGGTGTCTCCAAACATGAAAGTAGTCAACAAGAGGTTCACAACCATACCAAGCACATCATCGAATCACGTTATTAAGTGCATCAACTAGCCCCCCACAAAATGGTTTGAAAATAGGCATTTTATCTACACCTGGTGTGCGTGAACAAAATAAGCATAGAAGGTAGGCATTCCTAGCACACAAAGGCCCAATCAAGCAATGGAAACATTCCACAATGTATTCAACACCTAAACCAAGCCTTCCCCTTAGTCAATTTCAACCAAATCATGCATTTCATATCGATTCTCTACCTAAACACCCTATCACCAAATTCTCCATAATTCACAAGGTAAAGGGCAGAAATAAAACTGGAGACTCAAGTAGAGGTGCAAGAGAATGCAATGGAAGTGAAGAAAAGCCAAAATTCTGCCCAACGAATGCTCGTCGGAGCCTTGCCAGAAATCATCTCTGGAGACCAAAAATGGACCCAAATCACACCAAATTGAAGGGAGAGGCAAGCAAGGTGGATGGTTGAATGGTTCTGGAGTTGGTTTCACGAAAAGAGACCGAATATGGCCAGAAAATTGGCCAAGATATTGGAAATCGCAATTTTCGGACGAGTGGAAGAGGATTCCAGCGAGAAGGGTTGAAAAATGGGGGCTACACGGTCGTACCGCTTATTTATAGGTGATCTGGGATTGTCGCACGGGCAAGCCGTACAGATTTGAAATCTGCCCGTGCGTGGCCAAGGAATTTGCACGGGCAGGCCGAGGATTTAGTATGGCCGTATAAGGATCCATGCTGCCCGTGTGAGATTTCCAGAGTCAACGCACACGCACGGGCAAGGCCAGAAATTACGCGGCCATACACTCATGTGGCCTGGCCGTGTAAAACCCCTGCATCCCCAAAACCACGATATTCCACAAAAACGAGGCATCCAGCCCCTTCGACACACACGAAACGACTCAAAGACAAAAAATTAATAGAAAAAGGAAAAGAAATGCAAGCTACGGTAGGGTTGCCTCCCCACAAGCGCTTTTTTTTACGTCTTTAGCTAGACGTAGCCGGCGGAACTAAGGGTCCGCGAGTTGAACTACCAACTCCGCGTGTTCAACCTCACCTCCCAGATATAGCTTGAGGTGGTGGCCATTCACTTTAAATGGCTCAGTTTGCGGGTTGGAAATCTCGATAGTGCCATATGGGAACACCTGCGTGACCGTGAACGGTCACGACCATCTGGAACGGAGCTTTCCTAGAAAGTGTTTTAGGCGAGAATGATAAAGGAGAACACGATTTCCAACCTGAAACTCCTTCAGAGCTCTCAATCGAGCGTCGTGGAGACGCTTTGTCCGCTCCTTGTACAACTTTGTGTTCTGGTAAGCGTGGTGACGCCATTCCTCCAGCTCCAACATCTGCATCTTGCGTTCAGCACCTTCAAGGCTCACATCCAAGTTTAATAGCTTAAGGGCCCAAAAGGCCTTGTGCTCTAGCTGGACAGGCAAGTGACATGCCTTTCCATAGACGAGCCGAGAGACCAAGGGGAGCTCTTCCCTCCCAAACTATTGTCAACCCCAAAGATCAAAATGTCGGGTTGAATGCTATTTTGTTGAGAAGTGAGAAGGTGACCCCGAAGATTGTTGGAAGAGATGAAATCGAAGAAGAGAAGACTCTTCCAACGGTCGACAAGGAAGATGATTCGGGCACAAATGTACAAATTTTACCCATCATTTCTTATTCGTTTAGCTTAGTATATCATCGTTCCTAGATATATTGCACGCTAGGTTGTGCT